CTCGGATTGGGAGATCCATTTGATGAATGTCTCCAATGCCTTTTGTCAGGGCGAGCTTCATGAGCACATATTCCTTGAGCGCCCCGCTGGCTTTCCTCGCCCCTTCCCTCCGGGCACCGTCTGGGAGCTGAAACGTCCTATCTATGGCCTCAAGCAGGCCCCGCGCGAGTGGCATGCCAAGCTCGCCTCCATTCTTCACTCTCTTGGCTTCTCCACCTCCTCTTCTGATCCCAATTTCTTGCCTACGTGGATGACTTGGTGCTGGTAGCTGAGGACTCTGTCGACCTTGCCGCTGTCAAGAAGGCCCTACAGGCCCGTCTCCTGTGCAAGGACCTTGGCAAGCTTCGCCACTACCTCGGCATGGAGATTCGTCGCGATCGTGCTGCGCGCACCATCTCTCTTTCTCAGTCATTCTACATCCACTCCATCCTCCAGCGCTTTGAGATGTCGCAAGCCAAGCCAGTTTCCACTCCTCTTCCGGCTAATCATCAGCTGACTGGCCCTGAAGTCCCTGCTCCATCCTCTGACTTGCGGCCATATCCTGAGCTCGTTGGGTCACTCATGTATGCTATGATGTGCACTCGCCCCGACCTTGCTTACCCCCTCAGTGTCCTCTCTCGCTTTGTCGGCCTAGGTCGCCACATTGACGTGCACTGGGCGGCTGCCAAGCACATTCTGTGTTATCTTCGCGCCACCTCTGATCTTTCTCTCACTCTTGGTGGCTCTGCTCCTCCCGTTCTCTCGGGTTACAGTGACTCTTCCTATGCTGACTCTCGCCCCGATTGCCGCTCCCCTCAGGGATATGGCTTTGCTCTTGGCAATGGTCTCATCAGCTGGCGCTCTACTCGCTCCTCCTCTGTCTGCCTTTCTTCTTGCGAGGCCGAGTTGTACGCTGGCACGTTGGTTGCTCAAGAGGCTCGTTGGCTCTCCTTTCTCCTTGCTGAGGTGGGCCACCACAAGAAGTTCCTCGTGCATTATCCATCGCTTTCGTGTGACTTCTGCAACGGCATGCACATGGCCGAATTTCATGATGATAATGTCAAGGGCTGGGAGGAGAACATTGGGAAATGGAATCTCACCCTGCAGCGGATCCATGACATTAATGGTAATTGGTTGCGCTCTAACCATGTTTTTTCAGGTTGTTGGGGTCCAGATCTGGAACGCTGACAGCCGCCCTCCACCCTAATTGAGCAGATACATCACACCTGATCAACACGATAGTGAAGACCATCCTTCGGAACCCAGCGGTAGCTTTGATCTCCACTGGAGGCAGCCAGGAAGACTGGTTCCGTGTTCAGGAGGCTTGCGAGAAGGCGCGGGGTACCAGTCGCAAGCGGTGACTCATGTGCGCTCGGTTCAACACTGCACTGGGCTCCTGAAAGGGGGGGCTGCTACCCATGCAAGCAGAGGGAAGACGAACCTGACAGCGATCCGGAAAGAGTTCGGGCCGTGATGATTCGGAGGCTTTGGTCCAAGAGACACGGTGCCTGTACCCGGCTGGCTGTAGGAGGGGGAAGATATAAGCAGAGAATCAATGGTAGTCAGAGTCAAGGCAGTGTTGTAGTTCTCATCTGTAATCGTGCCCGTGGATGCGAAGGGGCCCCTACACAGTTTCTTAATGGGCAACAACACCAGCAATCTCACCCTTTGCGAGGTCAACGTAAATGGCATGGGACGCAATGACAAGAGGAGCAGAAGCAGGAGATGGATTAGGAATGTGGCGGATATAGTGGTTCTAACAGACACCAGGGTAGGAGAGGACCATAATTTCTGGACGCAGCTAATGCCATCAACAGTGGGTCCGAGTTAAGAAGCAGGGGGGTGGCTGTGCTCTCTTTTACAGACGGAGTGAAATTTGAACATGTTACCAAACATTCACTAGGCAGGTTGATACGGGTGAGGGTCCGCAGTGCGCACCTGGTATTCAGGCTGATAGCGGCATACCTGCCAGCGCAGGTGTGCAACAGAGCAGCGTTCTTCACTTTCTGTCTTCCCCAGTTCGTCCATGACCAGCCGCCGTTAGCGCACCTCGTGTTGCTGGGTGACCTGAACCTCGTGGAATACCTGGACCTGGACAGGTCATCTCACGGTGGATAGGGGCAAGCGAATCAGAGGTCGAGGGTTTTTTGGCTGGCACACGACCACCGTGATGCTTTCCGAACGCTGCATCCGTCCCGACGGGAGTACCCTTTTTACTCCAGGGCGACGCACACCAGCTCGCACATTGACATGGCACTGGTCTCGTTACCTCTGCTGGGGCCGCTGGCGCGGCATGTCAGGGTGCAAAGGAAAACTCTCGGATCATTGTTTGGCAATCCGTTTCAGTTTCTCAGTGTCAGCATCGCTGGAGAGGGGTCCGGGGATGTGGAGGATGCATGCAAAGTAGGTCGATACGAAAGGGGTGAAAGCGGTGACTGCCAGAGTGCTTAAGAAGCTGGAAGGGGAGCCGGATGGCGACTTCGGGAAGATGCTGCAGCTGATTAGCATGGGTCTATGGGCGCATGAAAAGGAAGAAAGGAAGAGGGTTAAGGCGACCATCGTACACTTGGAGAAAGAGGTGGAGTAGCTACGACATGCGGTAATGCGGCACCAAACAAAGAAGAGGTTGCCGGACAGGCTGGTCTGCAAGGAGGCGCATCTAGAGGATTACCTGGAGAACGGGAGAGAGCGGTAGCAGGTCTTAGCCGGCCCGATTGTCGAGTTCAGCGGTGAAGTCCCGTCTCCAGACTTAGTCGGCCAAGGTTAAGATACGGAAAAAAAGAACAATGTATCAGAATGTTGTATTTGTCTAGCCTGCAGTGGGGTACTCTATAGCGAGTACAGCCCAATCTAGGGTTTCCTATATGTACTCAACTGCTTGCTAGTGAAATCCTCCCTTTCTTCATTCTTACTTTCTACTACTACTTCTGACACAATGATCGAGGAAGTACGCCACGGCGGGGTAATGTACCGGGGGACATGCGAAGTGCTGAAAGCAGCGGAGGAGCATTTTGGTGCAGCCTTCCGGGAGCTGGCGCCGGAGGAAGCGTGTGAGAGTACGACGGCTCTGCCTACCTATATTTACATTACCTTGCATTATCTTGCTTACTTATATTTTCGGGTGCTTGACTGTGCTTTTTTTCCTAGTTTCGTTGCGTAATTAGATACTATAGTTATAGGCACCAAATAGGTTACATGCACCAGATTCTATGTTTTTCGGTTTCCACCGAGAGGCTTCTACCGAATTCGGGAAGGACCCGTTCGGGACGCTTCGCGACCCTCGGAACCTTCTCGTAACATCCTGGTTACTGGCCTTGTTTCGTGCCTATATATAGCCCCGTAGTTGTACTCAGGACTCGTAGTAAATTTTTCTGAACTCGATCCTCGATCCTCACAAAGCGGTTGTTTGGGAGGCTTTTGCAGCGGGTCCACAGCTCTCGGCAGCAGATGCCATCTCTCTAGGGAAGGAGAAGATTGCCGGCAAACCAAAAGGCAAGTCGCCTGGGCGGGACGGGTTACCAGTGGAGTTCTTTGCCACATACTGGGAGCTGCTGGGGGTAAAGGAGATGCAGTTCATATGAAGTTTTGAACGAACGGCGCGGTTACCAGAGTGGTTTTCAACTGTGGTGACGGTAGTTCTACACAAAAAGGGAGACAAGGACCAGCTCGGGAATTATCATCCCATTACGCTCCTCTCCTATATCTATAAAATCGTATCACAGGTCATGGCCACACGGCTGAAGAATGTGCTGGGGAGGGTAGTATCGAAAGAGCAGCATGGTTTCTTACCAGGACGCAACTTGGCAGACGTAGTGCCAATGGTAGCGGATGCGGTGGAGGCGGCAAACAACGGAGGCGAGGACATGCTGTTTTTTTTGGTGGATTTCCAGAAGGCGTATGATACTGTCTTACGGGAATACCTCTTCAGTACGTTGCTGGACCTGGGTATGCTGAATATTTTTTGTACGATGTACAGGGGAGCGGGAACGAAGGTTACGGCTAACGACTGATTCAATGAGACAAGTGAAAATGGGCAAGGGCGTAAGGCAGGGGTGTCCACTTGTGCCCTACCTTTTCCCTCTGCGCTCTTGAGCTGTTGTGCAGAGCAACGGTCCGTCAGAGGTTGGGGATTGGCGCTCCAAATAAAGAATGGTTGTTGTATGTAGGATACGAGGACGACACTTCCTTCCTCCTCGAGGAGAGGGGCAACTGAGGGAGACAGAAGCACTGCTGGAGAGTTTCGGCAAGCAATCAGGACTAAGAGTGAAATGTGGAAACCGGAGAGGCTCCTGGGAATCTGGGTCACTCCCAAAGGTGATGCTGGCCTGTCCTAGGGGACGACTTACGACAGGATTAAGGAGGAGCTGACGACTGTCGCGAAACGGAGCCAGGTCCCAATTTCCCACCTCGGTGAAGCGGTCGTTATCCATTGCCAACTGCTCCGGCGAAAATTGGTGGGATTGGGTTTCTGCTGTGGTCAAACAGGTCCCGGGACATTTCTTCCCCCCCTTATTATTGTTTGATCTCGATGAGGTCTGACGATGTGTTGTGTTTGCTCGCCTTACTGCAGTTGGGGTCTCTCTCTCTGCCTCCGCCGATTCATGTGTGGAGGATTCCACTGCAGCAGGTTGCACATAAGTAGTGTCTTTCCCCTCATCATCTTCATTAGTTAATGCACGATTTAAAGCCCTTCTGCCTGCTCGTTGGAACCCGTTCTCCGGTCCACCTCCTCGTCCCCTACAGTTCTGTTGTCCCGTGCTTCGTCCGCCTCATGATGCCTGTGGCGATTGGCGGCTGGTCCCCGTATTCACTACGGCCCTTTCTCGTTGTGTCGGCGATGGGTGCCATCCCGTTTGGATCGGTGTCAATGACGACCTCGAGGGCTGAGCCTGCTGCGCCTCCTGCTGTTCACGTGGGGAATTCTGCGGAGAGCGCTCCCGTTGCCGCGTCGCAACCTGCTCCTGTTGATCCGGCTCCCCTTCCTGTGCTTAAGACTTCCAGTTGCGACTAAGACTGGGGCGATGCCCCTTGCTGAGAGCTCCCGCGTGCCCCTATCTGCCCCCGCTGACCACGTGGTCTCGGACAAGGGGGAGGACGCTGCCGGTCGGGAGGAGTGGGCGACGTCTCCCGTGCGGCAGAGGTCCCCGCGCTCGGTGTCGTCCCCTGGGCGGCGTGGGCGCCGCGATGGCTCTCGGGACCGAGCCGATGGCGCGGACCTCGGGAGGGACGCGCGTTCCTCCCAGCATTGTTCCTCAACGGCGGAGTTCCAAACGGCGCACATCGGGCCAGCATTTCCCTGATCGCCGTCCGTCGCCCGAGCGCCATCACTCACGCCACCGCTTGCCGGGCTGGTGATCTGCAGCAGCTCCGGGCTGACCTACCGGGCATGCTGGCTGCGGCAATGCAGGCGGCGCAGGCCGGTCCTTCTGGCCAGCACCGACTGGCTGCGCCTCCTGCTCCCGCTCCTGTTGCGCCTCCTGCTCCTGCTCTTGTTGTTCCGCCTACGCTTGCCCCTGCTGCTCCGCCTACGCCTGCCCCTGCTGCTCCGCTTGCGCCCCCCCTTGTCAATCCCCGGGTGTCAGCGCACGCGTATCCCCCGCTACCGTGGGTGCCTCTGATTGCAGGAATGGAGTTTGTGGGGGCGGGAGGAGGAGCGGCGAGGGCGCCGTATACTCCTCCATGTCTCGTTGACGCCGATCTTCCTGCTGCGGCCGCCCCCCTTCGCCTTCTGAACGAGGGGTCTTTTCCTCGCCAAGTGCTGGTGCCCTCAGCGACGCTTGGCCAGCTTTGGCGCTTGGTGGAGTGGCTGCAGGCTCTACTGTTGATCCAGGTAAACGCTTATGCGTCGCTTCCGCGCCTTCCTGGGAACACCCTTGATCCCGATCCCCGTGCAGATTGTATAGATGCTGCCGCACAGCTTGTCTTCCTTGTGGCGCCCGTGGTGGCAGCACCCGCGCGGGGAGGCATCGCGGCGGTTGGGTGGCTGGAAGCGGCGGTCCAGGGCCTGAGGCGGTACCTGCGCGCAGGGACTGGAGCCGATGCGATCGGCGCAGGTGCATTGGTGGTCCGCGAGTTGCGGCGGAATCTGTCGGGCATATTGTCTGCCATTGAGGCGGACGAGATGTAGTCCGTTGCCTGCTGCTCTCCATTGTTTCCACTAGTAGCTTGCTTTAGGAGCCATGCGTGTATGACAGATGTTAATAGTTGATGCAACTTCTTCTCTTGCCGTCCCGAACGCGAGGCCGAAGGCCGCACTGACGAGCAGCGGCGGCCGAAGGCCGACGTCGCGAGCCCCCGAAAATGAAAAGCCAACTGAATAACGAGAATGGGAGGGCACTAGGGGGCCTTAAGTAGGCTCAGAAGTGGAAGGATTAAGGACGGAGTCTAGGTCGTTTAGGGGGCCGAAATAACTCAAAACCGTCAACCTAGTTCCAGGACAGAAAAGTTGTCGTCACAAGGAACGCCGTCAACAAAAAACGCACTGTTAGAACTTCACCAATTTCAGACATATTTAAGCTCTAGATCGTGTTAAAATGTGAAGTAATTAAAATGTGAAGTTTCTAGCTACCATTCCGAATTTGAATCGTATTAAAATGTGAAGTAATCTCGAGATATTAATTTCGGCGCATAGCGGGGTATGCTGGAGCTGAAACTTAACTCAATCCCAATAGTTCAACCCAAGAATCACAAAGAGGAATTAGAGTAGCTAGAAACCAGGTGGGAGACAATGAAGAGGACGAGAGGGAAGGTCCCCAAGGAGTCACAAACCAAGGAAACACCATAAGCACACCAAATCCCCTCCCTACAGGAAACCCAATTTGACTTTTGTCACTTTCCCAACCCATATCATCCACCTCACCCAACTTGGCCACACTTGCCAATCTGGTTTGGCTTCTTCCAACCACTTAGCAGCATTTACAGTGAAGGTGACGAAAATTCCCAACCCACAAAAGTCTATACCCCATATAGAGTCGCCCCACAAATTCCCAAAGTCGCCGCAACCAAATATATAAAGCATACGAACTTCAACCGTTCGTAACTTTCTCGTTCGAGCTTCGATTGAAGCCATCATTGGTTCGTCGGAAAGCTCTTGAGCTGGGAAGTCATTTCAGATATCTGCTCAAGCAAGATAAAATTCACACATACTCACAAAGCCCAAACAACACCAACCACAAATTCTTGCACACGCTCACACCATGCATGCAATGTACGAACACATGATGGGAGGCATATGATAGCATTACATAACATGAAGACAGATGGCAGAGGGCATAAACAGATGGCAGCGGGCTAGGCTTGTCCCATCTCTCTAATGGTCCGTTGTATTGATATAGCCAAAGGGGTACAGACAAGCAAGCAAGGTATAGAAACTAAGATAAAACCGAGACAACTAAAACAAACAACAAAATAACCAAACAAACAAACAAGCACCCAACTACCTAGCCTCCCTCCCCCCCCCCCCCCCCCCCCCCCCGGCACCCACTACTCATTTTCAGCAAAGGGCTCTAGTACAGCAAAGCAGTCCCCAAGGGACAGCTCACTGTTGATTCCCCCAACAGGCGGGTTCTCTGCCGCCGCTGCCAAGCTGGAATAAATGAGGTAACCCACCGACTGGGCCCTCTGGAGGGCGACTGACCACCGTTGCCGAAACTGGTGCAGAAACTTGGCGGCTTGATAGGAGTGAGGGTCGGCGTTGAAGTGTTGCCGTGCCGCAGTGTCTGCCAACAGTTTCAGGAAGGTCGGTACCTCCGCACAGTGGCAGCCGTAGGTCTCTACGGTCAAAGGGACGAAACCCACCGAGTCCGGCCTACTCTCATAGTGTTTAATCTTTTTGTCCGCTTGCTCTCTCGCCGCCCACCCTCTGCCTTTCTTTGCCAAAGGGTCCCTCGTGCTGATGGGGTCCGTGATTGTAACGTCACAGATGTAGACTGCCCCGCTGCTTTTGTCCCGGATCGTTACATCGGCTGTCTGCTCTTCTATAGGGCAATAGGCTGCTGATTCCCCGTGGACTATGAACCCCGCGTCCTGTGCCATACTGATGCACGCGTCTCTAAGCTCGTTGTGAGTATTGATTCGTGCTTTGCCGGTGCCGCAGCGAAACAGATGGTTAGGCAGCCGCGGGTCTGTAATCTCCACATGCTTCGCACAGTCACAGTTTTTTGGGGTGGAGAAGGGGAGGCCAAGCCTGAACCGCACGGCATTGGCAAAGTGCTCAGGGCTGAGCCGTCGTGTTTCAGCTATGGGGATGGCCAGTAACCAATCCCCTGTGCCATATCCAGTCATGGAGATCCGCCGTTGCGTGTGACCTGAGAGGGGATTCAGCTTCATCTTCCTTGTCTGCTGCTCCTGCTCCGCGTATCTGCTTCCTTGGACGCTCAGAGCGAGAGCATGTTGCAGCTTGCAGTCAGTCCGGGCCGCCCTCTCCCTCTGTAACAGCTCCCGTGCATCTGCCGACAGTGACCCCTCGCATTTCGCTAGCCATGCGTGCAGCTGTGTTCCGCTATCGTGCTGTGGAGCCATCTTGCCTCTGATGATTGCGAGGACGTCATCTGGCGTCAGCGGCATGGTGTTGAGCAGATGCGCTGCTTCCATGAAACTGGCCAGATACCCATACACGCCTTCAACCGATGGGTCCACGAGGCCTAGTCCACCGAGAGAGGGAGGTAAGGACGCCTGCTCCCAGATCCGCTGGCGCTCGTCCTCACTGGTGGGAAGCCGTGTGCCACATGCCGTGAGCAGAGTTGCGAGGAGTGACATTCCCCATTCTGACCAGGTGGGCATGGGCAGGTGGTGTAGCGGTGTTGTTCGTGAGAGATAGGATACCCGTCGTGATATGCAGCGGGTTAGGAGTAGTGAAGCCACCTGTGGGTCCGTTTGCTCTAAAAGGCTAAGCGGCTGGGACAATCGTTGTTGCTGATCCGTCAAGAAGCACGATGCGCCCTCGTCTGTCCCGAGGTAACTTCCTAACATCCGCACCCCCTTGTCGCAAAACGGGATTCCAATCGGTAAACGGTCCGGAGGAACTGCAGAACGACTCCAGGCCGCGCACTTAGACGGATTCTGGTGCAGGCCTAGGCTCTCTAGTCCTTCAGTGAAACGCTTGAAGGCCGTGACGGTGGAGTCAGTGTCCCCTAAGAAAGTGACATCGTCCGCATAGGCGAGGCAAAGGACAGTGGGGTAGGCGGCAGCTGTGCTTCGAAGGGTGTCGTGAATGCTGGCTGCAAAAAGCAGTGGGCCTAGGGGGTCCCCTTGACGCACTCCGCGCTCACTGCTAAGCGGGTCACTGTTGAAGCCAGCGTCCAGATGCAGTTGGGATGGGCTTCCGTATGATAGGCGGACTAATGGCAGTAGTGGCCTGAGCGCCAGGTCCGCTAGTGCTGTTGCTATAGCCTGGCGTGATACACTGTTGAAAGCATTTGCCAGGTCTGTCTGGAGGACGAGACACTCCGGGTTACTGTCAGTGAAGGTCCGGGCCGTGTGGATGATCGCCTCGGCCCCACCTATCACTGCCACGCCATATTGCAGAGGTAGAAAAAATTCGCGTGCCACTTCCCCCATTAGCGTCAGTGCGGCCTTTGCAGCGAGCCGCATGATGCTTTCCCCAATTGCTATCGGACGAGCGCCCCCGTCAGGTTTTGCTAATGCGATGAGTCTGGAGGCTGTGAGCAGGTCGGCTACCTGTTGAGGTAGTTTACCCCCCAGTAAAGTGTTCACGAGGGCGTGCAAGTGTGTGGCGACTGCTGCATTTGTCAGTGAAGCGTCGCGAAGGTGTTCGAATGTTGTGCCAGAGGGTCCTGCCCCAACCCCATTCTCGCAGCGGCTCAGGAGTTTGATAAAATCTGGCTTGTTGATGGTCATGGCAGTCGTGGGTGTGTCAGCTGGCCATGTCAGCGATGCGTTGATGGCTGGCGGGTGTTTGTGGCGTAGGTCAGTCAGCGTTTCGGGGGATGGTGTGCAGACCGGGGTTGACTCTAATGCCAGTACGGCTCGACGCAAACTGCCGCGTTTTGCCAGTCCCTCTGCACGACTGATTTTTCCTTTGTCGTATGGCTGATGGCGTGGCGGTGGCGGGGTGTCAACTGCTGCGGCTGCCTCGAGGTATAGTTGTTCCCACTTGCCCTGTTGAAACAACTTCAATATTTTCTTCATGGTCGGCCAATCAGGGCGTCTTCGCGTGGTTTGACGCAGAGTCAAACGCAGGAGAAACAGTAGCAGTCGCCAGGCCCCGATTGACTCCGGCTTCCTTGATAGGTGGAGGAGCGGTGTCAGAAGAACCAGCGAAAACAGTACACAGATTTTGGGCGGTAGTCTTCTCGCCAGGGCCGGCTGACGACTGTCGCGTAATGGGGTCAAATCCCAGTCTGCCACTGTGGCGAACAGGTCGTCCCGCCTGGCCAACTCATCTGCCGAAAAATAAATTGGAGTATGCACCAATGCCACGCGCTCTCCAGAAATGTTGGCGCGGATTGGTCCCTGATCGCGGCTCGGTGGGACATTTGAGGTAAGGGTTGGAATTTGGGCCGTCAGATCGTCTTCTGCTTGCCCCCCACCCTGAGATGCGTTTACCTCAGTGGATCGAGGGTTCCCCCTTGTGGACCCGTCTGCTCCTTCCACTCCTCCAGGGTTGAGCCTTGTATTCCTTGGTGATGCTTCATCCTCAAAATTATAAATCAGGTCCCGTCGCACGTCCTCATCAGTAGTTCTTTCTCGCGCTATTAAAGCCCTCCTTGCCGCTGCCTGGAACCCGTTCTCAGGACCTCCGCCTAATACGCTCGCTCCACGGCGTCCTCTGCCTCCCCGTCTTCCTCCTTGGCATGGTGATCGCTGGCGCTCCTGAGCTGTCGCCAGTGCCCGCTGTCGCTGCGTCAGTGGCGAACGTGAGGTCATTAGATGTGCCTGCGATGGTGATAACCGCGCCGAAGCCGCCCCTGGCACCCGTAGTGAAGACTGGACAGCTAGTTGAGGCCCTCCCTGTGCTCCCGCCGTCTGTGTCACCGGCTGCGGCGGATATGTCGGCTGCCGCGTCTGCTCCGCCCGTTCCTGCTCCGGCGGTGCTTGATCCTGCTGGGTCTGTTCTGGTTCAGGAGCCCCCTGTCGCTGTTGTCTCCCCTCCGGCCGCGGCTGGCACTGCCGTTCCGCTGAGCCTCGCCGCCCCTGTCGTGCCGACCCCTGCTGTTGACGTGGCGCAGCCGGCGGTGTCCGCCACCACTGGCGGCCTGGGCCCTGTGCCGGCGATTGGCGAGGCTGTTCGGCCTGCTCCCGGGATACCTCCTGTGGGCCAAGTCGCGCTCCCGATCGCTCCTGCCCCTCCAACTGCGGCCCCTGCTGCGGCCCCCCCCGCTCAACGTCAGCCGTCCCCGGGCCGCCGGCAGCATCGGCCTCACTCCCCTGTGCCACGCGACGAGCGGGAGACGTCAAGGCGGCGGCACGATTCCCCTCGGCGCCGAGGTTCCCAGGCAAACTGGGCTGCGTCCCGTGGCGGTCGTGGTGGCTGGTGGGGAGGGCGTGGTCGTGGTGGCGGGTGGGTGTATGATCAGCCGGTGACAATGGCCGACCTGCAGCGCGTCGTGTCTGCTGTGGTGCGTGAGGAGCGGAGCGGGCAGGCGAGCCAGAGCAACTCGCCGTGTATGTCTTGGATGATATTAGCTTGTCCCTTTCTCCCTTGCCACCCCCTCACGCGCGGCCGAAGGGCGGCCGGCGCGAGGAAAAGTTTCTGCCACCAAACAGAATAATGAAGAGAAGAGGCCGTGAGAGGCCCCTTATATAGCTCAAAGGGAGAGGGCAGAGGGCAAAGGGAGAGGGCAGAGGCTAGGATCCTCTGTCTCTCTCTCTCGCTCTCTCGAACGAACGAGGAAAAATTTCTGCCACCAAACAGAATAATGAAGAGAAGAGGCCGTGAGAGGCCCCTTATATAGCTCAAAGGGAGAGGGCAGAGGGCAAAGGGAGAGGGCAGAGGCTAGGATCCTCTCTCTCTCTCTCTCGCTCTCTCGAACGAACGAGGAAAAGTTTCTGCCACCAAACAGAATAATGAAGAGAAGAGGCTGTGAGAGGCCCCTTATATAGCTCAAATGGAGAGGGCAGAGGGCAAAGGGAGATGGCAAAGGCTAGGATTCTCTCTCTCTCTCTCTCGCTCTCTCGAACGAACGAGGAAAAATTTCTGCCACCAAACAGAATAATGAAGAGAAGAGGCCGTGAGAGGCCCCTTATATAGCTCAAAGGGAGAGGGCAGAGGGCAAAGGGAGAGGGCAGAGGCTAGGATCCTCTCTCTCTCTCTCTCTCTCTCTCTCTCTCTCTCTCTCTCTCTCTCTCTCTCTCTCTCTCTCGCTCTCTCGAACGAACGAGGAAAGATTTCTGCCACCAAACAGAATAATGAAGAGAAGAGGCCGTGAGAGGCCCCTTACATAGCTCAAAGGGAGAGGGCAGAGGGCAAAGGGAGAGGGCAGAGGCTAGGATCCTCTCTCTCTCTCTCAAGCAGTCCTTCATTGATAGGTTAATAGAGGTACAGGCATTGGCAAGAGCAAAGTACAGAACAGGCCTAGTCCTATGAGCAACCAGTTATGCGAGGCAGGGCCAAGGTAGGCACAACAAGTAGCCAGTGGGAGGTCGGGCTAGCAAACCAACGGTACCAGCAGGTCAGGACCTTGAGGGCAGAAGAGGAAAGGCAAGGCAAGGCAAGGCACAAACAGGCATGGCAGGCAAACAAGGCAACTCCAAGCCGAGCAAGGCAAGCAAGGCAAGGCAAGCAAGGCCAGGCAAGGAAGGCAAGGCATGGCAGGCAAACAAGGCAACTCCCCTGGCGGAACCTCCTTTTTGCCGCCGAGGTTGCTTGAGGGCGGATAAACTGTTGTGTATCCGTAGCTAACGCTCCGTACGTCTCCACTGCCAACCCAAAGAAACCCACGTAATCAGGCCGCCCCTCATAGATACTGTGTTTCCTCTCCGAGGCTTCCCTTGCCGCCCATCCAGGAGGCTTCCGAGCACGCTTGTCGCGGCACTGCAGCACTGGATCCGTCACTGTCACGTCGGTGACCCATGTCTCATTCGACTCCTTGTCACGAATAGCAAGATCACCTCTCTTCCTGATCACCGGTGGGGAGAAGGCAGTAGTTTCATGGAAAACGGTGAAGTCAGCCTCCTTTGCCATCCGGAGCAGAGCGAACACGAGGGCATTGTGCGTGCGGATGACATCTCCCCCGTAGCCACACCTCAAGAGGTGGTTTGCTAGGCTCGTGTCGGTGATTGCTGTGTTGGCACGCTTGCACGGGCAGGCAACTGTGACTGGAAGGGCCATGCCGAGGCGGAAGCCAAGTGCCAACGAGTACTGACCAGGGGCAAATGTAAGGTCAGATCTCGTTGGGATGGCATGGAGCCAGTCCCCCGCTCCCACCCCTTGCAAGCTGATGAGCCGCACTGCGTGCCCCCGGTCCTTCCCTGGGCGGTCCTCTATCGTGTCAGCCAACAGCTCCGCTGCCCTTGTCTCGTTGATGTGGCGAGACAGGGTCAGTTGAAGGTTCCCTTGCCCTGCCGGCTGCTCCCTGTAGGTGTGTAGTGCCGCCCGTGCAGCCATGGGCAGCCCTGCTTCCAGTGGTGTCAGGGGGTTTATACCAGGTGGGTCAGGGGTCCACTCGTGGTTCAGCAGCTCGACCGCTCTGCTCAAGAGGTAGGCCCCAGGTAGGTTCATCTGCCGCAAGAGTTGCTGCGCCGCTGTGACCGAGGCAATGTAGGCGGCAGGTGCCTCTGAGACGGGGTCAATAATCCCCAATCCCCCCAACCTGACCGGTAGAGTTCCCTGGCGCCACAACAGACTCCTCTCCAGTTCGTTTTGGGGGTACCCGAAGCTTAGCCGCTGCTAGTGCTGCTGCCATCAGTGTTTCACTCCAGCCCCTCCACCCCTCTTTCTCCAATACTTCCGCCGGTGTCGTCCTCAGCAGGTAGGAGATTCGGCGGGATATGCTCCTCGTGAGGATGAGCATCGCGCTCTGCGGGTGGAGCTGTGCCACCAGAGGTAATGTGGCCGACGCCTCATCTAGCCTCGACTGTGCTAGGGCGGTGCAAAAGGCAGGCGAGCCGACTGGGCTGCCTAGAACCCGAATCCCGTCTGTGGTCTGCTGCAGGCCGATAGCAGGTGCCGTGCCGTCGTCGTCCTCGAGGGTTTGTCCCCATGCTGATGATTTTGCGACGTTGCAGCGGAGGCCGAGGGTTGCCAGCTCCCTGGTGATGGCCCCAAAGGCCTCGTAGCCGGCCTCCTTCGGCCCCACTATCGTTATGTCGTCAGCGTAGGCTACTATGGCGACTTCTGGTAAGAAGGTTGCCGTGCTAAGCAGGCACGGTTGAATTGCAGCCGCGAAGAGTAGTGGGCCGAGCGGGTCCCCTTGACGCACACCCCGTGACGAGAGGATATGGTTCACCCCTAGACACTCATCTACCAAGAGAGACGAAGGTGCCCCGTAGAGTGTTCTAACGAGAGGCATGAGCTGCAGCAAACTGGACTGGGAGAGAGCGTTGAAGAAAGCCGCCCGTTCGACGCTGTTAAAGGCGTTTTCTATGTCCAGCTGTAGCGCTACTCGTGTGTCGTCGTCTCTTAGTAGTGATCTGACGGAGTGTATGATACACTCAGCGCCTCCCGGTATCGCCACCCCAAACTGCACCGGTAAGAAGAATTCCTTTATGTTGTCTGTTAAACCCCTCAATGCTGCCTTAGCCACGACGCGAAGTATAGCTTCCCCTATCGCGATAGGGCGGACGCCTCCTCCTGGCTTTTCTAGGGCGATTAACCGTGAAGGTAGCAGCAGGTCGCGGGTCGATTGAGTTTGGAACGTGCTCAGCAGGTAAGTCACTGTCTTAGCGAGTAGGATAAGCACCTCCCCGTTTGCCAGTGCTGGATCCTTGAGGTGTTCGAAGCAGGTGCCTGATGGGCCTGCTCCAACCCCGTTTGGACATTTCTTGAGAATTTCGCGAAGCTCGTCTGCCGACACGCTGAGGGTCGAGCGGTTGAACCCGGTAACCAGGCCTGGTAGCGATGTTTCAGCTGCGGGGTGTTTCGCTTGGAGTGCCGTCAATGTTGCCGCCGTGGCTTCTGCGAGCGGTGTAGTTCGTAACGCTGCTACCGCTTTGGAAATATTTCCTTTCCTTATCAACCCCTCCGCCCTCGCGCATAAACCTGCATCGTCCGGTTGGTGTCGTACCGGACTCTCATTGTCGGGGATGACACACGCGTCGGTGTAGAGGGGCTGCCAGGTGCCGAGTTGGAACTGGTGCAGGCGCAGCTCTATTGCTGTCCACCGGCTGCCTTCAACAGGTTCAGGTGCCGGACGTAGCGTCAGCCTCGGTAAGTACTGTAGGATCGCCCATGCACCTGGGCAGTCAGGATTTTTTCAGAGTCGAATGAGTGGCGCCAGGAGGCAGAGCGTGTAGCTCTCCAGGATCTTGGGCAGCATTCTGCGTACCACGAAGGGTTGATCCCCTTTTTGGAGTGGATATTTGTCCCACGTGGCTGCCAGCTCCCAGATGGAAGAGTCGTCCGCCAAGTCAGATGGTGATCTGGCCCCTGGGTCACTCTGTCCCTCATTTGGGGCCTCCTCGTTCACCCTCTCCTCTCGAGGGTTTCTCCTCTCCTCCTGTCGCCTTCGCTCCCCTCTCGTTGTCCCCTCTCCTTCCTCTTCCAACGACATTTCTTCCGAGGGCATCGAGGCCGAAGCTTCATAGTCCTCCCCGTCCTCACCCCTTTCAGCATCTGCTTCATTCTGAGTCGTGGGATCCGCCACCTGTTCAGGGCGATCGTGGCGTTCCCGCCACGTTCCCGACCGCAGCAGCGCCTCTCTGCCACCAATGATTGCGCCACCTCCTCTCCGTCCGCCTCTTGCCCCGCGGGCTCCGCCTCTCCCCGTGCATGCCGTTGCGCCTCCCCTACCCGAATTCTCAGCGTTTCGTCCACCTCGCCCGGCCTGTGGTGCTCGGCCTGCCGGGATCCACGGCGTGTTAGCCGGGACTGTCTGGTGACCTCGCGGTTGTCCCCAGGTAATCCCCTGGGCGCGTGTTGTGCTCCGTGTTTCACGGCGTGGTGTTTGTTGCGCTGCTGTGTCTACCGCTGCGGCTGCTGGCGTGTTGTTGTTGACGGTGGTTGCTTGCCTAATGCCGTTCTTTGCTTCTATGCCCCCACCGCTCGTCCCCGCAGATGGCAATTGACGCCCTTGCGTTCGTGGCAACTGCCCTTGCAGAAGCCAGCCCAGGAGGGGTCCTGGGGGACCAGGTCCCAGCCCTGCTCCGGGCCGCCTCGGCGCTGGCTGGGCTCGAAGCTTCTTCTTCCCTGCCTTCCCGCGGGCGGCGCAGGCAGCTACGCCGGGTCCGTGACCCCGTCTATCACTCCCCTCCTGGCCGTGCCCCTGCGTGCTTGCGCCCTCGGCAGCAGCAGAAGTTTCGGTGCTCACAACGGTGGTCGGCTCATCCTCCTCGGCCTGGTCTCCGTCCTGTTCCCCTGCCGCCGCTATCACCACCGCTTCCAGCACAGTCGCCGTTACAGGCTCCGGTGACACCGCCAGTTCCGCCTCCTCTGTCTGTTCCAGAGCCACTGCCGGGCCCAGCACCTCTGGTTGCAACGCCTGGGTGATGGCAGAGGGTGAAGTTGAGCCGCCAACAAAGGCAGCGTCAGGCCCGCCACGCTCAACTGCAACCGCCGCCCCAGTCGCCTCAGCAGCAACCACCTCCGGCCCCGCAGTATCTGCAGCCTCAACCGCCACTGCCGCCTCTGGCTCGGTCGCTGTTGCGCCGTTTTCCACTGCCGCCGCGGCCGCAGCCACCTCGCCCCCCGCCGTCTCCTGTTCCTCCGCCACCTCCCGAGGTGCTGCTATTCCCTCCCGTCCCACCAGCTCCTCTTGCTGCTGCTCGTGTAGCTGCGACGCCTCTCCTCGTCGAGCAACGCGTAATGCACGTGGGGACGTGCTTGACACTGCTGTCGTACGTGCTGGACCAGCTCCACGTGTGCTTGGCGCGCCAGGGTGTCGAGGTTGGGGGGATGATGCCATCGGAGCAGTCGGTGGCGGTATCCGCAGCAACGGAGATGCTGCATTATCTCCCCCTGATCGGACTTGTCCAGGGCGCCCCTGGTGCGGAGCTTGGGCCCGGCCCTGGGGCGATGATGCGGCTTGCTGAGTCTGCTCAGGGGGCCCCTCTCGGCCTTGTATCAGCAGCCGCATCCGTCCTTCGCTGGATGGACGGGAGGCTGTGCTGGATACTCGCCGAGTAGCTGGTGGATTCCCTGTGCCGGCCCCCTTAGTAGCTGGCCTGGCTTTGGGCTTCCCCATGGCGGCAGAGGCACGCCTAGGGGTGTTGTTGTTGTTGTGTGTTGTCTAGTACTGCATGTTGTACTGCTCCATGCTATAGTCCTTGTTCCCTTTGTCCTTGCCACACCTCACGCGCGGTCGAAGGCCGCCGGTTTTTGGGGAGTAAACTGAACTCACCAGTGAAGAATGAGCTCAAAGGACTCCTCACTAGGTGCTTTATACTAGGGGAACAGCCATGGAAACGTCTAAGGATTAAGGACTAGGGAGGAGAGGGTGGAAAACGGCTAAGGACTAACCCCAGGCCATCTCTCTCTCTCTCTCGCTCTCTCGAACGAACGAGGAAAAATTTCTGCCACCAAACAGAATAATGAAGAGAAGAGGCAGTGAGAGGCCCCTTATATAGCTCAAAGGGAGATGGCAGAGGGCAAAGGGAGAGGGCAGAGGCTAGGATCCTCTCTCTCTCTCTCTCTCTCGCTCTCTCGAATGAACGAGGAAAAGTTTCTGCCACCAAACAGAATAATGAAGAGAAGAGGCCGTGAGAGGCCCCATATATAGCTCAAAGGGAGAGGGCAGAGGGCAAAGGAAGAGGGCAGAGGCTAGGATCCTCTGTCTCTCTCTCTCGCTCTCTCGAACGAACGAGGAAAAATTTCTGCCACCAAACAGAATAATGAAGAGAAGAGGCCGTGAGAGGCCCCTTATATAGCTCAAAGGGAGAGGGCAGAGGGCAAAGGGAGAGGGCAGAGGCTAGGATCCTCTCTCTCTCTCTCTCGCTCTCTCGAACGAACGAGGAAAAGTTTCTGCCACCAAACAGAATAATGAAGAGAAGAGGCCGTGAGAGGCCCCTTATATAGCTCAAAGGGAGAGGGCAGAGGGCAAAGGGAGAGGGCAGAGGCTAGGATTCTCTCTCTCTCTCTCTCTCTCTCTCTCTCTCTCTCTCTCTCTCTCTCTCTCTCTCTCTCTCTCTCTCTCTCTCTCTCGAACGGTCCTTTGTATTGATATAGAAAAGAGAAAACAGCAAAGGCAAGCAAGCAAGCAACAAACAGGTATGTCTAACTTTTCTCCACCCTACCCCTTCCCCCCCCCCCCCCAAGTCTTCTACCCACTACCATTGCCCGGCTCTAGTGTAGCAAAGCAATCCCCGGGGTCCAGGACCCCCTCAGGCCCTCCTAAGGCAGGGTTTTCTATCTGAGCTGCCTGGTTCATCTTGATGAGGAAGCTTACAGCCTATGCCCTCTGTAAGGCGACGGACCACCGCCGGCGGAACTGGTGCAGCAGCTCTGCGGCCTGGTAGGTTGAGGGGTCCGCGTTGAAGTGAAAGCGTGCTGCTCTGTCCGCCAGGTGCTTCAGGAACGCCTGCACCTCGTCGCATGGGCAGCCATAGGTCTCGACTGCCAGCGGGTAAAAGCCTGCAAATTCTGCCCTCCCGTGGTATAACCCTATTTTCTTATCTGCCGCCTCCCGTGCTGCCCAACCCCTTCCCTTCCTTGCCGTCTCGTCCCTTTTGCTGATGGGGTCGGTTATGGTGATGTCCCCTAGCCACACCGCCCCACTGCTTCTGTCTCGAAGGGCCAGGTCCGCCTTCTTGTTGTCGACCGGGCTAAACGCCGTACTCTCCTTGTGCACAATGAACCCCGCGTCCTGGGCCATCCGCACACACTCGTCCCGCAGCACGTTGTGCGTGTTGGTCCGCCCGTGCCCTGTGCCGCAGCGGAGGAGGTGGTTGGGGAGGCGCTTGTCTCCTATGCCGACTCTCTTTGTGCAGTCGCAGTTGTCAGGGACGGGGAGAGGCAGTCCTAGGCGGAACTGGAGGGCAAACAAGAAGTGCTCGGGGTTGAGGCGGAGGGAGGACATGTAGGGGATGGCTATCAGCCAGTCCCCTGCACCATAGCCTGTGAGGGACAGGAGCCGCTGCGTGTGGCCGCATAGGTGGTTCGGCTCTATGTGCCGCGATGCTGCTACTTGTGCGGCGCTGCGCCCCCCCTGGACCAGGAGGGCGAGGCGGTGCTGCAGCTGTCCCTTGGGCGCTGCCATTTCTGCCACCAGCAGGTCACGTCCCTTCTGTGTGAGGCTTGCCCTGCACTCCCCGAGCCAGGCTTGCAGTTGGTTCGGGTCCGGATCCACCTCCTCTGTCCAGTTCAGCGCGGTAGAGAGGTGAGCCTCGGCAGGGCCGGGCAGGGAGGCAAGGAGTCCGTGAGCCTGGACGAAGCTTGCCAGGTAGCTGTAGCGTCCTTCTACCGCTGGGTCTGCCAGCCCCAGGCCCCCCAAGCTTTGGGGGAGGGAGGCCTGGTCCCACACCCGTCGTCCCTCCGCTTCCCCCCTCGGATGGCGCACACCGCAGGCGTCGAGCAGTGTGTGGAGCAATGCCTCGCCCCATCGTGACCATTCATCTTCAGGCAGCAGGTTGAGTGGGGTGGTGCGAGCGAGGTATGACATCCGCCTCGAAATGCACCGCGTGAGCAGCAACGACGCTGCCTGCGGATCCAGGTCCGATATCTGCGGGAGCGGCGTTGTCATGGCTTGCAGCTGGGCCCGAATAAAGGCGGCTGCTCCTTCTGGCGTGCCAATGAAGCTGCCCAGAACACGCAGACCGTCGGGGCAGAATGGGACCCCGGCTGGCAAGGTCCCCTCAGGTGGTCGCACTGCGCTCCACGCCGCGCACTTCCCTGCATTGTGTCTTAGCCCCATGCTTCTCAGGCTACTCGTGAAGTGGTTAAACGCCGCCGTGCATTCCGCCGCTTCCCCCAGGAACGTAACGTCGTCGGCGAATGCGAGGCAGAGCACGGTGGGGAAGGAGGCTGCTGTCGTGGCGAGGGGTGGGTGAATACCTGCCGCGAAGAGCAGTGGCCCAAGTGGATCGCCTTGGCGAACCCCCGTGACGCTGGTCAGCGGAGGGCTATTGAATCCTGCGTCGAGGAAGAGCTCGGACGGCGCATCGTAGGAGGTTCGAACTAGGGGCAGGATTCCTTGCAGCGTGGTGTCGCGTAGGCCTGCTACTATCGCCTCACGACTGATGCTGTTGAAGGCGTTCGAGAGGTCCGCCAGGAGAATAGTGGCGTGGCTATGCGTACTAATGTATGACCTGGCAGCGTGGATTATCACCTCGCTACCCCCCTGGATGGCGACACAGTATTGTAGTGGGAGAAAGTGGCCCCGTGCTTCTTCTGCTAGCGCGGATAGTGCTGATTTCGCCGCTAGGCGTAAGATGCATTCCCCCACTGCTATGGGGCGAGTACCCCCCTCCGGCTTAGCGAGGGCGATTAGGCGAGAGGCTGTAAGCAGGCTGCACACCTCCTCTGGGAGTGGGCCTTGGAGGATGGTGTTAACGAGGGCGTGGAGGTGAGTGGTAACAGCTGCGTTGGCGATGGTCGCATCCCTGAGGTGTTCGAACGTCATCCCTGACGGCCCACCCCCCACTCCGTTTTCACAGCGACACAGGATTTTTGCGAAGGCTGCCTTGGTGATGGTCGCCACGTTGGCTTGGTCTGGGGGTGTCCAGTCGATGTGTCCAGGTGGCGCAGGGGGGTGCTTGGTTTTGAGTGATTCCAGTGTTTCGGGCATTGGGTCTGCCACGGGTGTAGATTCCACGGGTGTAGATTCCAGAGCGAGGCCTTCCGCTCTGGCGCGCTTGCCCTGCGCGTCCGGTTGGTGACGTGGCGGGGGCGGCGTGTTGATTGCTGCCACTGCTGCCTCGTACAGCAGGTTCCACTCGCCTTTGAAAAACTGGCGAAGACGCAGCTTGACCGTCGGCCAATCAGGTTTCTCTGGTTTCGCCTGGCGAAGGATTAGGCGGGGGATGAAGAGCAACAGTCGCCACCCTGGCACAGAGTCAGGGTTACGCGAGAGGTGAAGCAACGGTGTCAGGATTGCCATTGCGAAGCTGGTGCGGATGTCGTGCGGAATCTTGCGGCTTAGGGGGGGCTGGCGAGTGTCGCGAAGAGGTGTCAGGTCCCAATTTTGGATTTCGCCGAAGCGTGCAGTGTCCTTCGCCAGCTGTTCTGGCGAGAATTGGCGGGGTTGTGTTGATGGTGGGGTGATGGGTGGTGCGTGGCGGTGCGGTTCCCCCCCAATTCCAACTTGTGCAGATGCGGCTCGGGGAATTTGTCCAACATTCACTCGACTTTCAGCTCCTGGGCCAACTTCCCCTTCGTCTCCACCACTTCCTTCGGTGGCTGATTCGGCTACTGGCTGGGCGATAAAGGTGGGGTCTTGTGCCTCATCGTCTTCATTATCCGCCACGTTAACGTCCGTAGCCGCGTTTAAAGCCAGCCTCGCCGCCCGTTGGAAGCCGTTCTCCCGTCCTCGGCCTCTCCCTGCTGCTCGCTGCCTCCCCGCTCGGCCACCTCGCGATGCCCGTGGCGGTAGGTGGCGGATCCCCAGCGCCGTATTCGCCGCGGCCCTTTGGCGTGGCGACTGCTGCGCTTCTCTCGCCGGTGCTGTCGGCGCCGGTGGCCCCTGTTGCGGCGATGTCGGCCGCGGGATCTCCTGCTCACGCGTGCTCCACGGTAGTCGACTCTCGACGGGAGTCGGCTGGTGTGGCCGCCCCCCCGTGCGTGGTGCCGCCGATGCCCGTCCCTGCCTTCGTACTGGCGCCTGCGGCGAGCGTGGCGCCTCTTCCTGCTCCTGACGCGGCGCTCCTTCCGGCGCCTCACGTTCCGGTGGTGCGATCGCCGGCTGCGCCGGCTGCTGATCCTGCCGTGGTGGCGCCTGCGTCTGGTGCGCCACCGCCTCCTGCGCCTCTTCCGGCTCTACCTCCTGTGGCTGCCGAGGCGTGTCCGGCGGCATCTGCCGCTGGGCCCCTTGGTGTCCCGCCCGGGGGGTCTTCTCCCCAACTCCCCCATCCGTCCGCGCCAGCTCCGCATCTGCAGACGCGTAACTCCCGTCCTCATTCGCCCTCCCCTTGAGACGAGCGGGACGTGTCTCGGCGTCGTCGTGATTCACCACGCCGGCGGCAGCTGCAGGCAAACTGGCATGCGCACCAGGGTGGTTGGAGGGGAGGTCGCGGTCGCGGGCGTGGCGGGTGGCTGGACGCGCCAGCGACAATCGCGGACGTGCGGCAGATTGTGACCGAGGCGTTTCGTGACGGTCAGGCAGGCCCGGCGAGTCACAGCAGCTCACGGCGTGCAGCTCCAGCGCCGTCCGCTCCCCATCCGGTCGCGCGCTCCGTGGCTGCTCCGACGCCCGCGGTGTCACTGCCGACTCCCTCGGCCCCTGCTCGTAGTGGTGGGGCTGGGCTTCCTCGCCTACAGCTCCCTTCTCTGGCGGAGGAGCTCCTTCCCCCGCGCACCGAGGTTCCGAAGGCGACGCTCGGGCAGTTATGGAGGCTCTCGGAGAGCCTTCGTGCGCTCCTGCTTGTGCAGTCCCTGGCACACGGGTCTCTTCCGCTTGTCCCGGCGGAGTCCCTGCTTGACGGCCCGCGGGACGACTGTCTTGACGCGGCCGACCAGATTGCCCTCCTCCTGGCGCCTGTGTTGGCCGTCCCCGTGCGGGGAGGCGTTGGGGCTGTGGGGCAATTGGACGCGGCTGTGCGGGACTTACGGAGGTACCTGCGGGCAGGTTCCGGAGCCAACGCGATTGGCGCCGCCATTCTGGTGGTCCGCTCGGTGTGGCAGACGATGACGGGCATTCTGCATGCCCTGCAGGCGGATCGGATGTAGCATCCGCCGCGGATTGATTCATGGTTGTCTTAGGTAGAGGTAGTTGTTGTCATCCGATGTATGTCTTGCCGATAGTCGCTTGTTTGCTTCTCTCTCTCTCTCTCTCTCTCTCTCTCTCTCTCTCTCTCTCTCTCTCTCTCTCTCTCTCTCTCTGTCTCTCTCTCTCTCTCTAACGGTCCTTTGCATTGATAACAGGGGCTGGTACAGACATGCAGATCCTAAGGGAGATTTCAGCTAGCATAAGGACAAGCAAACAAAACCTATGGAGCAACCAAACACGCAAGCAAGCAACCACACACTCCTACCCACCCCCCCACACCCCCCCCCCCCCCCTATGTCTAAGGTGCCTCTAGTGTTGTGAAGCAGTCCCCGGGGTTCATCTCCCCCTCTGGTCCCCCCAATGGGGGGGTTCTCTGCTCGGGCTGCCAGATTCAGCTTTGTGAGGAAGCTCACTTCTTGGGCTCTCTGGAGGGCAATGGACCAGCGTTGGCGGAACTGGTGGAGCATCTTCGCGGCCTGATAGGTAGATGGGTCCACATTGAAGATTCTCCGTGCAGCTTTGTCCGCCAGCAGCTTCAGGAAGGTGGGTACTTCGTCGCAGGGGCAGCCGTAGGTCTCAACCGCCAAGGGGACAAACCCTGCAAACTCTGCCCTGCCGAGGTAGAGGCCTATCTTCTTGTCTGCTGCCTCCCGTGCTGCCCAGCCCCTCTCCTTCCTTGCAGTCTCGTCCCGTTTGCTGATGGGGTCTGTTATTGTAACGTCAGCCAGCCACACCGCTCCCGAGCTCCCGTCCCTAAAGGCCAGGTCGGCCTTCTTGTTGTCCACCGGGCTGAAGGCAGTGCACTCCTTGTGCACGGCAAACCCCGCGTCCTGCGCCATGCGGATGCATTCATCCCGCAGCTCGTCGTGGGTGTTGGTCCGGCCGTGCCCAGTGCCGCACCGGAGCAAGTGGTTCGGCAACCTTTTGTCCAGGATGGGGACTCGTTTGTTGCAGTCACAGCAATCTGGTACAGAGAGTGGCATGCCTAGCCTGAACTGGAGGGCGAATGTGAAGTGGCAGGGGTATAGGCGCAGTGAAGGCATGTAGGGGATTGCCATGAGCCAGTCCCCCGCCCCATAGCCCGTGAGGGACATGAGGCGCTGGGTGTGGCCCAGCAGGGGGTTCAGCTCCATCTGCCTGGATGCTGTGATCTGGGCGGCACTCCGCCCCCCTTGGACTAGGAGTGCTAAGCGGTGTTGCAGCTGGCCCTTGGGTTTTGTCTGCTCCGCTGAGATAAGATCCCTCGCCTCCTGCGAGAGGCTGTCCCTGCAGTCCGTGATCCACCGCTGCAGTTCAGTGGGGCTGCGATCAGCTGCTGCGGGGGTGTCCAGTGCTGCTGTCAGTGTGGCCCCTGCCTGTCCCCCCAACTGGCTGAGGAGTGAGTGTGCCTGTACGAGACTCGCCAGAAAACTGTATCGGCCCTCCACTGTAGGGTCGGCAAGCCCCAGGCCGCCTAGGCTTGGAGGGAGTGAGGCTTGGTCCCAGATCCGTCCGTCCTCTGCCTCGCCCCTTGGGTGGCGCACCCCGCAAGCATCTAGAAGTGTGTACAGCAGTGCCCGGCCCCACCTTGACCACTCAGCTTCGGGTAGCAGGTAAAGGGGGGTGGTGCGTGCTAGGTACGAGATGCGCCTGGAGATACACCGCGTTAGTAGCAGCGCCGCTACTTGTGGGTCCATGGTGGCTATGTGGGGCAGTGGGGACGACATTGTCTCTAGCTGTGACCGTAGAAAGGCCGCTGCACCGTCTGTTGAACCTATGAAGCTCCCAAGCACTCGCAATCCCTCCGCGCGCAGCGGGACACCCTCGGGCAGCTGCTGGGGATCTGTGGCTGATGCACTCCATGCGGCACACTTCTCTGGGTTGTGGGTCATTCCCACATCGCGCAATCCCGTCGTGAAGTGACGGAAGGCGTCAGAACAATCCGCAGCAGGGCCCAGGAATGTGACGTCGTCGGCGAACGCGAGGCACAGGACTGATGGGTAAGCTGCTGCTGTCCTGGAAAGAATAGGGTGGATCCCCGCGGCAAACAGTAGTGGGCCTAGCGGATCACCTTGTCGCACACCCGTCTCGCTAGCCAGAGCCTCACAACCGAATCCCGCGTCAAGGAACAACTGGGCTGGACGGCTATAGGATATTTTGACGAGGGGAAGGAGGCCCTGGAGGTCAGTGTCGCGAAGTGCGCCGACTATCGCTGCGCGGCTAATGGAGTTAAACGCATTTGCTAGGTCCGCCAGCAGGATAAGCTCGTCTGGGTTTGCGCTAGTGAAGGCTCTCGCGGCGTGGATTATCGCCTCGCTGCCGCCTTGGACGGACACGCAGTATTGTAGCGGGAGGAAGTGCGCGCGGCATTCGTGAGAGAGGGCTGAGAGGGCGGAATTAGCTGCTAACCGTAGGATACATTCGCCTACCGCGATGGGTCTAGTGCCTCCGTCTGGCTTCGCTAGAGCTATGAGGCGGCTAGCAGTTAGTAACGAGCAAATCTCCTGAGGCAGCTTGCCTTGCAAGATGGTGTTGACGAGGGCGTGGAGGTGTGTGGTAACCCCCACGTTGGCGAGTGATGCGTCGCGGAGGTGTTCAAATGTCATACCCGATGGTCCTCCTCCCACCCCGTTCTCACAGCGACACAACATTTTAATGAAGTCCCCCTTTTCTGTCGAAGCAGCCTGTACAGAATCGGGGATGCTCCAATCGATGGTTCCAGGTGGCGCGGGGGGGTGTTTTGTTTTGAGAGCGGCGAGGATGGTTGCAGATGGGTCAGCGACCGGCGTTTACTCAAGGGCGAGGATCGCCCTGCGAAGGCTGCCTTTTCGTGTAAGGCCTTCTGCCCTGGCTCGTTTGCCTATGGTATCTGGCGTATGACGAGGCGGGTGGGGTCCAGTAATTGCGGTAACCGCCGCGTCGTACAGCTGCTGCCATTCGCCCTTGTTGAATTGGCGAAGTCGTTGCTTGACTGCCGGCCAATCGGGCTTCTTGGTTGACGGGAGGCGAAGGGTGAGACGCGGGATAAAAAGTAACAGGCGCCAGCCTGCGACTGACGCAGGGTTCCGCACGAGGTGGAGGAGTGGTGTCAGGAGGGCAGTGGCGAAAAGTGGGCGAATGTCAGCGGGGAGTTTACGCGACAGTGGGGGCTGACGACTGTCGCGTAGGGGGGACAGGTCCCAATTTTCCACTTCGCCGAACCGCACCAAGTCCTTGGCCAATTGTTCAGGCGAGAATTGGCGGGTCTCTGATGCGGTGGTGTCTGGTCCCGGCTGGTTCGATTCGCCACCTGCTGCAGCTGGGATTGGGGCGGCTCGGCGTGGTGCTGGGTTTCCCCCGCGTCTGCCTTCCCGTTCCTCCTCCTCTAACTCCCCCGATTCTTCCGTGGTGGATTCTTCCACTACCTCAGCTATAAACGTAGGGTCTCCTTCCTCCTCCTCAGCTTCATCATACTCCACTCTTCGAGTTAAGGCGCGGCGTGCTTCCCTCTGGAAGCCATTCTCCGGTCCGCCTCCCTTCCCAGTCCGGCCTCCTCGTCCGTCGCCTCGTCCGCCTCGCGATGCCGGTGTCGATAGGCGACGACTATTCGTATTCGCCACGGCCCTTTGTCGTGGCGTCTGCTGCTGTTGCCCTTCCGACCGTGTCGGCCCCGGCTCAGGCGGCTGTGGCGATGCCACCTCTTCCCGCGCCTCGATCGGCGCCGTCGTCCGTGACTCCGGCCGGCCCTGTCCTTGCGCCTGCTGCGGCGCCGTTTCCCGTCGCGGCGTTGTTGTCTGCGCCTGCCGTGGCGTCTGGTCCTGCACACGTGCCGTCGCCCGCTCCCGCGCTCGCCTCGGCGTCTGCTCCTGCGCCTGCTCCTGCGACGGTCGCGGCGTCTGAACCTGCGCGTCCTCCGGTGCCTGCGCCGGTGGCTCCTCCTGTCCCCGTGGAGGTGTCTGCGCCTGCGCCAGCTGTCGCGGCGACGACTGCGGCTGTTGGAGCGGGCGCCGTGCCGCCACCGGAAGCGCCTGCCGAGGCACCTTCTGCTGCTGCTGCGGACCCGTCTTACCGGCCACCTCCAGCCACCAGCGCCGGCCTGAGCTTGGCGGAGGTTCAGTCGACGCGCGTGGCGCCTCCGAATGCTCCGTCCGGGCAGCCTCGACGTCCCCAATCACCTGGCCGCCGTCAGTCCCGTCCACATTCTCCCTTCCCGCATAATGAGCGGGAATCGTCGCGGCGCCGGCAGGATTCCCCTCGTGGCCGCCGGTCCCAAGGGAAGTGGACCGCGCGCCGCGGCGGTCGTGGTGGCTGGTGGGGAGGTCGCGGCTATGGTCGTGGCGCTGCCCCAGAGGAGCCCCCGATGACTCCGGCGGAGATCCGCCAGCTTGTAACTGCAGCGGTGCGCGACGCCCGGGCTGACGCGGCTGGCCCAGGTTCCCCGCACCGTGCGGCGCCACTTCCTGGCATTTCGTCTCCAGCCGTCCGTCCTGCCGCCGATCACCAACCCGCTCCTCCTCCTCGTGCTGTTCCCCAGTTTCGGGCGCAGGATCCCTCTCGCGCTGCCGGGGTTGTGCCACTCCCAGTCCTGGCGGGGCCGCCCCTTCCTCCGCAGGCGCGTGTTCCTGAGGCGACTTTGGGGCAGTTGTGGCGCCTCTCGGAGAGCCTTCGGGCGCTCCTTCTGGTGCAGGTGACTGCACATGCTTCTCTCCCGCCCGTCCCCGCAGAGTCCCTTCTTGACGGCCCGCGGGATGACTGCATGGACGCTGCGGACCAGCTTGCTCTGCTCCTGGCGCCCGTGTTGGCTGCGCCCGCGCGGGGAGGCGTCGCGGCTGTGGGACAACTTGATGCTGCTGTCCGGGGCCTGCGGAGGGACTTGCGTGCTGGCTCAGGGGCCGACGCGATCGCAGCAAGTACCTTGGTGGTCCGCGAGGTGTGGCGGACTCTGAGTGGCCTCCTTGCTGCTCTTGAGGCGGATCGGATGTAGAATCCGCCGCCATGGTTGACTCCGGCGCTTAGCACCCCTTGCTGTGCATGTATGTGTTGCCGATATAAGTGCCTGTTCTGTTTCTCCTTGCCGTTGTCGAGCGTCGGCCGCCGAAGGCGGCCGGCGCGAGCGAAAAAATCCGAACCCACCGAATTATGAGGAAAAGAGGCCAAGAGGGCCTCTTAAGTAGCTCACAGAGGAGAGGGCAGAGGGTTAAGGGAGAGGGCAGAGGGCTAAGGGAGAGGGCAGAGGCTAGGTGCCTCTCTCTCTCTCGCTCTCTCGAACGAGCGAAAAAATCCGAACCCACCGAACAATGAGGAAAAGAGGCCAAGAGGGCCTCTTAAGTAGCTCACAGAGGAGAGGGCAGAGGGTTAAGGGAGAGGGCAGAGGGCTAAGGGAGAGGGCAGAGGCTAGGTGCCTCTCTCTCTCTCGTTCTCTCTCTCTCTCGTTCTCTCTCTTTCGTTCTCTCTCTCTCGTTCTCTCTCTCTCGTTCTCTCTCTCTCTCGTTCTCTCTCTTTCGTTCTCTCTCTCGTTCTCTCTCTTTCGTTCTCTCTCTCTCGTTCTCTCTCTCTCTCGTTCTCTCTCTCTCGTTCTCTCTCTCTCGTTCTCTCGTTCTCTTGTTCTCTCTCTCTCTCGTTCTCGTTCTCTCGTTCTCTCTCTCTCTCATTCTCTCTCTCTCGTTCTCTCTGCCTCTCGTTCTCTCTCTCTCTCTCTCTCTCTCTCTCTCTCTCTCTCTCTCTCTCTCTCTCTCTCTCTCTCTCTCTCTCTCTCTCTCTCTCTCTCTCTCTTTCAGCCACCCTCACTCTATCCTTCTCTCCCTCGATATCTCTCTCCCAATCCTTCCCAGCAACTCTTCCTCTTTCCAACCCGTCCTTCCTCCCTCGTTCCTTTTGAGGGGGAGGGACAAAGGGGGAGATACAGAAGGGGAGGGACGGAGGGGGGGGGACGGAGGGGGAGGGACAGAGCGGGAGGGACCGAGTGGAAGGGATCAAGGGGGAGAGCCACAGAAGGAGAGACAAGAGGGGGAGGACAGAGGTGGGGAGGTTTGCTTTCCTTCCCGCCCTCCCTCTCTCATTCCTTCTCAACCTCCCTCTCTCATTCCTTCCCGTCCTTCCTCTCTCATTCCTTCCCGCCCTTCCTCTCTCATTCCTTCGCGCCCTTCCTCTCTCATTCCTTCCTGACCTTCCTCTCTCATTCTTTCCCGGCCTCCTTCTGTCTCCTCTACAGATAAATCGTTCCTGCTCTCGCTGCCTCTCTCTCCTTCCTTTTCTCTCACCTTCTCTCCTTCCCCTGTTTACTCCCGCTCCAGCCCCCTCCAGCCACCGAATTACTCCATCTCCTGCCCTTTGACTCTCCACGTTCACCCAGCTGAAGCATCTCCCGTCCACCCTGGTGCTCAGTCGCAAGCACCAGCGACTGTCACGCTATAATCCCCAACCCCCTCACCCTGTCATCAGGAAGGGCGTCTCTACTCGGGGCGAGTAGCAGCAGCGCTACTCATCAGCTTCGCCATCAACGTGGCCGTTATCTGCGGGGGCGACGCGGTCTGCTCCGCGCCGGACCTCTAAGAACGTGCAGGGCAGCTGCAGCAACATCAGCGCAAAGCCCACTTACCTGCTGCGCAGCGTGCCCGAAACCCTGTTATGAAATTGTAGAATATGAGTTTGAGAATGATGACTTCTCCACATGTTTTGCTATTGATATGTCTATTGTTTTTAATATTTGACATTCTACCAGTTCAATGTGCTTTGTGATTAGCAAGCTGGTTTAAAAATAGTGCTGTGTTTATTGGAGTTTAGCAACCAAACATGTTTATAGTTTATTATCAAAGTTGTATGAATGGTGTTCATGTTCTGTCCTCACTAGCTGGATCTCGCAAGGGATTTCTGGGGGACTTCTTCACGGGAATGGAGGTGTGTGGGGCGAGCACAGTGTTCAATCGCACATTGGTTCCCCCACTAATATTCTCGGAAACAGTGGGCGCTACGGTGCATGACGAGCATCATTTAGGTCGCCGCCAAATTTCGAAGTTCATACTTTCCCGCATTCGCCGGCACAATTTCCAGCTCGGGTTTTTTTTTTTTTTTGTTTTTTTTTTTTTTCAGTTTTACCATGCTGGCTTCGGGCTTTAACCGTAAAGGATCGCAATAGTCACTGCAACTCTAGCAATGCCTGTAATACAGTTAATAAGGGGATGTACCCCTCAGAGTACATGGCTAGCTAGGAATATAAAAACTCAATGCAATGCTCTATTTTATTATCTTGCTATTTACATTCACAATAGAGCTCTTGAAGACCTTCGCTGTCTTAAGCTCTTGGCACCTTATACTGTCCACAAGTTTCCTTGGTTATTTCAGCATTGTATAAGAGCTAGATTGGATTATAAAGACTTTAAGACGTTGTTCTTCATAAGAACCCCCTCGTATATTATCAGTACAATATCTACGCTAGGTCCTACATCATGCCTCCTGATGGAAAGAATGTTGCAGAAACACCGGCCCCACCAACACGAATGTGCCCTCAACGGTAACGTCTGCTGACACAAATGCCGTCGAGCAGCTTATTGCGCGCATCCGCGCCCTTGAGAGCCATAAGACTATGAGCTGTCAGAAGTAGTAGGAAGAAACAAGAATGAAGAAAGGAGGGGTTTCACTAGCAAGCAGTTGGATACATATAGCAAACCCTAATTGGGCTGTACTCACTATGGAGTACCCCACTGCAGGCTAGACAATAATAACATTCTGACACACCCCCATAGCCAAAGTGGGGAGTAATCAGCACAATGAGCAAGCATAGCAGTAGTTCATAATTATAAGCAAAGCTAGTGGTAGTCACAGCGGGCAAGTGAGGAGGAGGAGGGACTGTGAGAGGAGAGAAGATGGGAGACGACGGCTGAAGCTGCAGACACACGGGCAACAGGAGCTGCTGGCACAGTGGCTACCGGGACAGCGCCCCGGACTACTGGAGTAACTGGCTCACGGGCTACGAGGAGCTACAGGAGCAACGGACCCACGGGCGACAGGCACAGCAGGCTCTCTGGGCTACCAGGACAGCGCCCCGGACTACAGGTGCTGCGGACGACAAGACGGCAACCTCCACACAACCTCCTCCAACTGACCCACACCCTTGACACACACCCCCTGCTGAACCCATAACTCCACTCCCACGTCACCCCCCTTTAAACCCTAAACCCTCGGCTCCCACACACCCACCCCCCTCAGCGGCAGCTGCAGCAGTGGGAGACGGAGGAGGAGGAGGAGTAGGGGACGGATCACACACCCGCCACCCCCATACTTGCCATCCCCATACCCCCAAACGTAGGGCAAAAACGGGGGCAGCAGCTGGGGCGGTGTGTGAGCGGAAGCGGGGCGGCGCGCGGGCCCCCAGGGCGCCTCGACGAGTGACGGGAGGGGGGGATGCGCGGCCCCCCAGGGCGCCACGACGGGTGACGGGAGGGGCGACGCGCGGCCCCCCAGGGCGCCTCGACGAGTGACGGGAGGGGGGGAACGCGCGGCCCCCCAGGGCGCCGCGACGGGCGACGGGAGGGGCGACGCGCGGCCCCCCAGGGCGCCGCGACGGGCGACGGGAGGGGGGGGGGGGTCGACGCGCTAGAGCCCAGGGCGCCGCGACGGGCGACGGGCAGGGCGACGCGCGGCCCCCCTGGGCGTCGCGACGGGCGACGGGATGGCGGGGGGGGGGGGCGCGCGCGGATCCCCCACGGCAGAAAACCGCCGCACGCCTCGGGGCGCACGGCGGGCAGAAACTCGCCGCGCGCCCCGAGCGCGCGGCAGGAAGAAGACGGCGCGCGCCCGAGGCGCGCGAGAAGCAGAACAGCAGCGGAAGCAGTTAGGTGGTGGGCCCACCCACAGGATCGACCCAAGGGGGTCGACCTGCTCTGAAACCATGTCAGAAGTAGTAGGAAGAAACAAGAATGAAGAAAGGAGGGGTTTCACTAGCAAGCAGTTGGATACATATAGCAAACCCTAATTGGGCTGTACTCACTATGGAGTACCCCACTGCAGGCTAGACAATAATAACATTCTGACATGAGCATCGATGGATCAAGCTACGCTAGAGGAGTCGCATGTCTCCCCCTTCCTGACGAAAAACAGCAAGTCAACTCCGAAAGGTCTTTTACCTTTGAGAATTGTCAAGCTTCAGCACCTGCTCAAGACCAACAACGAGCACACTCCGAAGCATTAGCATCTCTGCAGTACAAGTTCTTTACGACATCAAAACTGATAACATCAATTATTTTTGATGGCAGAGAATTCTATACCTGGAGCTTCAAATTCGAACTACTCACGCAAACGGCGCAAATATGGATGTACTATGACGGAACTCATACGTTTCCAAGTGAAGGCACTGACCAGGAGAAAACGATATTCTACAACGAGTCTCTCCTCGCTTATATCGTCATCATCCAAAACTTATCTTCCACCGAGCAACTTGGCATCAGTTCCTTCAAGGACCAGTTGGCTCCTGCATAGTCGTACTGGGAGTACATGCGGAGTATGTACATGGCAACAAATCCTGTCAAACATTGTATATGTTTGTGTTCTGTATGCTATAGTGGGTTTAGCCTGGGGGTGCTGAGCCTGCGGGTACAGAGCCTGGGGGTGCAGAGCCAAAGGGTGCTGAGCCTGAGGGTGCTGAGTCTGGGGGTGCTGAGCCTGAGAGTGCTACGTCTGAGGGCACTGAGCCTGGGGGTGCTGCGACTGACCGTGAGGCGCCTGGAGGCGCTCCCTCTTCACAGCAGCTGCGTGAGTGGTACTCGCGGTACTGCAGCCTCAACATGGGAGCTTCTGGGGCTAGGGGTGCTTCTGAAGCTGGTGCTCGTGGTTCCCCGCCTAGGCGGGAGCCGCCCTCTCCTCAGCGGCTCCGAGAGTGGTACGCTCGGCGCTGCAGTCTCCGGAGTGGCACTGCTGGTGCTTTGGACCCTGGAGCTGGAGCTACTGCTGGTGCTGAGGACCCTGGAGCTGGAGCCGCTGCTGGTGCTGCTGGTGCTGGAGCTGCTGGAGGTGCTGCTGGTGCTACTGGAGGTGCTGCTAGTGCTGGAGCTGCTGGAGGTGCTGCTGGTGCTGGCGCTGCTGGAGGTACTGCTGGTGCTGGAGCTACTGGAGGTACTGCTGGTGCTGGAGCTGCTGGAGCCGCTGGTTCTGGAGGTGCTCGTACTAGAGGTACTGGAGCTACTGGGACTGGAGCTGCTGCGGGAGTTGGAGCTGGAGCTACTGGAGCTGCTGGTGGTGCTGCGGGAGTTGTAGCTGGAGACCCTGGAGCTGAGGGCGCTGGTGCTGTCTCTGCTAGTTCAGGAGGAGCTGAGCGGCCGCGGCCGTACTACGTTCCGCTCCTTCAGCAGGTTCTTGGCCTCCCGCCCCCTACTGGTCCTACTCCTCCCCTACTGAGTCCACCGCCTGTCCAGTCGCAGTCACAGTTACAGCCTGCCTCTCCGCTGCCTAGTCCTTCTCCTTACGCTGGGCCGACTAGAGGTCTTACGGAGCGTCGTGAGCCTGAGTCTCGTCCTGCGTCGCCTGAGTCTCGTCCTGCGTCGCCTGAGTCTCGTCCGGAGTCGCCTGTCCGTGCTGCCCGCGCTGGTCGTCGTGTTCCGTGTGAGCGTCCTCCTCCTGTCCCTGGCACTCACTATATGACTCTGCGTCCTTCCACTGCTCCACAGCGTGTCCCTCTGCCGTCTCCTCCAGCGTCCTCTCTTCCTGCTCTTGCTAACCCGGAGTCTGACTCCCTTCGTGCTGCCAGTCCTACTGTCACGCGTTTCCTCGCCACTGTTGTCACTGACCCTACCTTTGAGTCCACTGCTGCGTCTGCTCTAGTCACTGAGCTTGTTGACTTTGCTGCCGCCTGTCGTCTAGACTACGCCGCTAGCCTTGTTGCTGAGTCTGCGTCTGAGTCTGTCTGTCCTCCGTCCATCGGGGGTGAGTGTGCCCTTGGCACGGACGTCCTTGAGGACAGACAGGAGGAGTTTGAGTGCTTTGCCGCTGCTTTACCTCATCTCGTGTCCATGCTGATTGCCCCTGAGGGAGACCCGGATGCACCAGACATCCCGACCCCGCGCTCTTACGCAGAGGCGATAGAGGGTCCCTACTCCTCTCAATGGCAGTCAGCCATGGACGCAGAGATGGCTTCCTGGAAGTCCACAGGCACCTACGTCGACGAGGTTCCCCCGCCTGGGGCGAACATCGTCAGTGGCATGTGGATTTTCAGGGTGAAGCGGCCGCCGGGTTCTCCGCCTGTCTTCAAGACGCGTTACGTTGCACGAGGCTTCAGTCAGCGTGAGGGAGTTGACTTCTTCCAGACCTTCTCCCCTACTCCGAAGATGACCACTCTTCGGGTTCTGCTGCACGTAGCTGCTCAGCGTGACTACGAGCTCCACTCTCTTGACTTCAGCACTGCTTTTCTACAGGGCAGCCTGCACGAGGAGATCTGGCTGCGCCGCCCACCTGGCTTCACTGGGTCGTTTCCTGCTGGTACCCAGTGGAGCCTCCAGCAGCCAGTCTACGGTCTCCGCCAGGCACCCCGTGAGTGGCACGACAACCTGAGGACTACTCTTGCTGCTCTTGGGTTTGCTCCTTCCACTGCTGACCCGTCGCTGTTTCTACGCACCGACATCACTCTGCCGCCGTTCTACGTTCTCGTGTACATAGACGACTTGGTCTTTGCTACTGCTGACACTGAGGCACTCGCCCACGTGAAGTCGGAGCTGCAGAAGAGACACACGTGCACAGACCTGGGTGAGCTGACAAGCTATCTTGGCTTGCGGATCACCCGGGACAGAGCACAGCGCACCATTACCCTGACTCAGTCACACATGGTGCAGCAGGTCCTTCAGCGCTTCCGCTTCACGTACTCCTTGCCTCAGTCCACTCCTCTGCCTACCGGTCACTCGCTCTCAGCTCCACCTTCGAACGAGTCCGTAGAGCCGAGTGGCCCGTACCCAGAGCTTGTGGGCTGCCTCATGTACCTGATGACCTGCACTCGACCTGACCTTGCATACCCTCTTAGCATCCTAGCACGCTATGTCGCTCCTGGCCGTCACCGGAAGGAGCACATGGATGCCGCTAAGAGGGTGTTGCGCTACTTGTGCAGTACGTCGGGCATGGGGCTCGTGCTTGGAGGACGGGGCGATGTTGTCCTCAATGGTCACGCTGACGCTTCTTGGGCTGACGACTTGACTACGCAGCGGTCGTCACAGGGTTACACCTTCAGCCTTGGCTCCGGCTCTGTTTCTTGGCGGTCTACCCGCTCGTCTTCTGTTCTCAGCTCCAGCTGTGAGGCTGAGATCTAAGCAGGGGCCATGGCTGCAAAGGAGTTACGCTGGCTCACCTACGTGCTGACTGACCTTGGAGAGCCGCCTCGTTCTCCTCCAGTTCTGTACGTCGACAACTAGGCCATGATTGCCTTGTGTCAGGAGCACAGACTGGAGCACAGAACGAAGCACATCGCTCTGCGCTACTTCCTTGCTCGAGAGTTGCAGCAGCGTGGTCAGCTTCGTCTTGCTTACGTGGCCACTCGGGCCAACACTGCTGATGTGTTCACCAAGGCGCTTCAGCCTTGTGATCATTAGCGTTTCTGTACTGTTCTAGGCCTTGTGCCGACTGTGCCTCACTTGCTTACTTCTTGACTCTGCTTGTACTGTGATCTCTATATATATACCTGCATGCTTCCACTTGCTAGGTTGTGATCACTGTACCTCTTGTTATATTATCAAACGGCATGTGAACTGGTCTTGTGACCGCTTGCTTGTGCTCGGAATTTGTGTGGTATCCTTGAGATCCACCCTGAGCTTGCTTTGTTTTCTTTTGCTTTGACTGGTCTTGTGACCATCTGGTTGTCTCCCACTTCGCCTATGGGGGTGTGTCAAACATTGTATATGTTTGTGTTCTGTAGGCTATAGTGGGTTTAGCCTTAGGGGGTACAACTTCTAGGTTTTCCTACTTGTACTCCCAATCTTGTTAGTTCAATCATTCCTCTCTCATTCTGACAAATCCAGTTACCATGAGTGTGTCAAACTTATATTCTATAGTCTGTGTAGGCTGTGGTGGGGTAGTTCCTATGGGGTACAATATTTTAGGGTTTCCTACTTGTACTCCTCATGCTGCTCAATGCATTCATTCCTCGTTCTATTCTTCACATGGTTTCAGAGCAGGTTCCCTAGTGGGAACGAATTTTTTTTAGGGCCCACCACTGAAAATTTCCTACCTGCCCAAAGCGCGCTGTCGCGCCTGCCTCACCTGCGCCGTCGCGCGCCCTGCCCTGCTGTCGCGCTAGTCGCGACCCTGCCTTAGCCGCCCGTCGCGGCCCTGCCTCGTCGCCGCCCGTCGCGGCCTGATCCGCCGCCCGTCGCGGCCCTGCTTTGCCGCCCGTCGCGGCCCTGCCCTGCCGCCCCACGACGCGGCCCTGCCATGCCGCCCTACGTCGCGGCCCTGCCTTGCCGCCCCACGTCGCGGCCCCTGACCTGCAGCCGCTGTCGCGGCCCTCCCGTCTCCGCCGACGCGCCTGCTGCCACCGTCGCGGCCCCAACGTCGCGTCCTGCCCTGCAGCCGCCGTCGCGCCTTCAGCACCCGTCGCGGCCCTGCCTTGCCGTCGTCGCGCTTGCAGCCGCCGTCGCAGTCTCACCGTCGCGGCCGACGCAGTCGCCGCCGTTGCGGCCCCGCCGTCGCGCCTGCCCTGCTCCCCCTTGGTGAGCACCTGCCCTACGCGCGCTACCCGCGCTACCTGCAGGCCGAGCCGCGCCGCTCCTCCGAGCCGCGCCGCCCAGCCGAGCCGCGCCGCCCAGCCGAGCCGCGCCGCTCCGCCGAGCCGCGCCGCCCAGCCAAGCCGCGCCGCCTACTGAGCCGCGCTGCCGTGCCCGCGCTGCTCCTGCTGCTTCTGCTGCTTCTGCTGCTACTGCTGCTACTGCTACTACAGTCGCTATGGCTAGCCCTAGAGTTCTTATCTTCAATGCTGAGGGTCATGCCATTGACTTCAATGTCTGGGTTGATGATCTGCAGCTGTTTCTTCAGTGCGATAGTAAGGACGGTATCTCTCTTTTTTATCTCACATCCGGCGCCTCTACTGCACCTGCTGCCGATGCTGCCAGCACAGTTCGCTCGCAGTGGACTACTCGTGACGCTGTTGCTCGCCTTGCTGTTCGTAGTCACCTGCCTTCTGCTGAGCGCGCGCACTTTGGTCAGTACAAGATTGCTAAGTCTCTGTATGACGCTGTTGTAGCGCGCTACTCCTCCCCTGCCACTGCTACTCTCAGCCGCCTCATGCTACCGTACCTGTTCCCTGACCTGGCCGCCTTTGCTACAGTCGCTGACCTCATTACCCACCTCCGCACTAGTGACGCCCGCTACCGCGCTGCCCTTCCCTCCGAGTTCTGCGCCAAGAACCCCCCCCCCATGTACATCACTCTCTTCTACCTAGTCACCCGTCTCCCTGACTCGCTCTCTTTAGTCAGGGACCACTTTCTCTCCCTTTGCCCCACCGAGCTCACCGTTGACCTGCTGGAGGAGCGCCTCACTGCACCTGAGAAGAGTATAGTTGCTGTAGGTGCTTCTCGCGGTGACCCTCGCGCCCCTTTCTTATAGGGGTGTTCCCCCGTTCCCCTTCTGCCCTCTGTTGCTTCTGCTGCTGCTGTCGACCTCGTTGGCACCGAGCAGGTCGGGGCTGCGTCTGCTCCTAGAGACAGGCGCCGCAGCGGCAAGGGCAAGGGGGGCAAGGGTGGTGGAGGGGACGACGGGGGCGGCGGTGGTGGCGGTGGAGGAGGCGGAGGGGGTGAGGGTGGAGGCAGGGGTGGTGGCGGGGGTGGAGGTGTCGGTGGTGGCGGTGGAGGTGGTGGAGGCAGCGGCAGCGGTGGTGGAGGCAGCGGCAGTGGTGGTGGAGGCGGTGGCAGCGGAGCTGGAGGTGGCGGCGGCGGTGGTGCTGGTCGGGGTGGAGCTGCGCAGCGTGGAGGCTTCGGCGGTCGCCAGCGCAAGCAGCAGCAGCTCTCCCATGAGACCCCGTCGCCTCAGCAGCTTCGTGAGTGGTACGCTGGGCGTGGGAGGTCTGGGGGTGCTGGTCCCTGCACTTACGTTCTCCGCACCGGCGGTCGCCGTGGGGAGACGTGCGGAGGGCCACACACGTCGCAGCATTGCTTCCGTCGCCTGTCTGACGCCTGGCGCGTGCAGTTTCCTGAGGCTCCTGAGCTCCCTAGCTGGGCTGATCTGCTTAGGCAGAATGTTGATATCTTTGCTCTAGACTTTGATGCTATCCTTGCTGCCATGTATGCTGTGTCTACTAGTGCTGAGGGTGACTGTTACCTGTGTGTGCCGCCCAACCCAGGTATAGAGTCTACTGCTCTAGGTGCTGGTGAGGCTGCTGCTCTAGGTGCTAGTGAGTCTGCTGCTCCAGGTGCTGGTGAGTCTGCTCTCTCTAGTAGTGCGCCTGCTGAGGCCTTACACACCTTCACACTTGACTCAGGTGCTTCCCGCTCCTTCTTTCGCGACAGCACCACACTCACGCCGCTCAGTCGGCCAGTTGCAGTCTCCCTGGCGGACCCCTCTGGGGGCCCCGTCCTTGCGCACTCCTCCACAGTCCTGCCGTGTCCAGCAGTCCCGTCTGGCTCACTGTCGGGTCTCCACCTCCCCTCGTTCTCTACGAACTTGGTGAGTGGAGCTGACCTCCAGGATGTGTGGGTTGACCAGTTCAACCCCGGAGGTCAGCGTGTGACCCACTGTACGTGCTCCCGGACTGGTCGGCACCTGGCCACGTTCACCCGAGCGCCTGGCTCGAGTCTGTACACACTGACCACTGTGTCCCCTCAGGTAGCTGCGTCTGCGTCTGTGTTTGCGTCAGGTCAGCTAGCGGCCCCCTGCTCGTGTCGCGCTTTGTCGCACTAGATTGTCCTTTGGCACCACCGTCTTGGTCACCCCTCGGTGCAGCGCCTTCGTGGCATGCACCGACGTCTCCTTGTCACTGGTCTTCCAGAGACTATGCCTCCTCTCCCTCCCTCGCCTGCCCCTCCCTGCCTTCCCTGTGTCGAGGGGCGGCAGCGCGCCGCTCCTCACTCCTCCTCGTTCTCCCCGACGACTGCTCCCCTGCAGACCCTGCACATGGACGTGTGGGGCCCAGCCCGCGTCCGTGGACAGGACCGCGAGCGGTACTTCTTGCTGGTCGTTGACGACTACACGCGTTACACCACGGTCTTCCCCTTGCACACCAAGGGTGAGGTCCCTGATGTTTTGATCCCTTGGATCCGCGCTTCTCGTCTCCAGCCCCGCGAGCGGTTTGAGACGGACTTTCCCGTCCTGCGTCTGCACTCTGACAGAGGTGGTGAGTTTGCCTCTGACTTTCTGCGGGACTTTTGTCGTGGGGAGGGCATTAGCCAGACCTTCTCGCTCCCGGCCTCACCGCAGCAGAATGGGGTTGCTGAGCACCGCATTGGCTTGGTCATGGAGGTCGCTCGTACCTCCATGGTCCATGCGGCTGCCCCCCATTTTCTGTGGCCGTTTGCGGTCCGATACGCTGCGCATCAGCTCAACCTCTGGCCCCGTGTCTCCTTGCCGGAGACCTCGCCCACACTGCGTTGGACGGGGAAGGTTGGCGATGCGTCGGTGTTCCGGGTCTGGGGTTCTCGTGCCTTTGTCTGCGATACGTCCGCGGACAAGCTCTCCGCCCATGCTATTCCCTGCGTCGTCCTTGGCTTTGTCCCTGACGCGCCTGGCTGGCAGTTTTACCACCCCACCTCGCGCCGTGTCCTCCCCTCTCAGGACGTCACGTTCGACGAGTCGGTTCCTTTTTACCGCCTCTTCCCCTACCGCACTGCTTCTCTCCCCCCCCCGCCGCTCTTCCTTGCACCAGGTCCACCTCCGGTAGACCCCCTCCCCCCTCAGGGTCCTGCTCCCTCAGGTGTGTCCCAGGTAGATGCTGTCGAGCCTGTCGAGGTAGCGGTTGACTCTCGTGCTGCTACTGGGGGTGGTGCTGCTGGGGGTGCTGAGCCTGAGCGTGTGGAGCCTGGGGGTGCTGAGCCTGAGCGTGTGGAGCTTGGGGCTGCTGAGCCTGAGTGTGTGGAGCCTGGGGGTGCTGCACCTGAGGTTGCTGAGTCTGAGGGTGCGGAGCCTGGGGGTTTTGAGTCTGGGGGTGCTGAGCCTGGGGGTGCTGAGCCTGCGGTTGCTGAGACTGGGGGTGCTGAGTCTACTGGAGTTACTGCAGGTGCCTCGTCTCGGCGGGAGCCTCTCTCTCCACCGGAGCTGCGAGAGTGGTTTGCTCGCCGCTGGAGACTCCAGCGAGGTGCTGCTGGATCTGCTGGAGCTGCTGGAGGTACTGCTGGTGCTGGAGCTGCTGAAGGTACTGCTGGTGCTGGAGCTGCTGGAGGTGCTGGAGCCGCTGGTCCTGGAGGTGCTGGAGCTGCTGGAGGTACTGGAGCTGCTGGGGATGGTGGTGCTGCAGGTGTTGGAGCTGGAGGTGCTGGAGCTGTTGCTGCTGGAGGTGCTGCTGGAGCTGGAGCTGTTGGAGGTGCTGGAGCTGGTGGTGCTGCGGGAGTTGGAGCTGGAGACCCTGGAGCTGGGGGTACTGGTGTTGTCTCTGCTGTTTCTGGAGGCGCTGCGCGGCCGCGGCTGTACTACGTTCCGCTCCTTCAGCAGGTCCTTGGCCTCCCGCTTTCCACTGGTCCTCCTCCTCCCTTGCTGAGTCCACAGCTTGACCAGTCGCAGTCACTGTTACAGCCAGCCTCTCCACTGCCTGGTCCTTCTCCTTACTCTGGGCCGACTAGGGGTCGTACGGAGAGTCGTGAGCCAGATTATCGTCCTGCGTCACCTGAGTCTCGTCCTGCGTCGCCTGTTCGTGCTGTCCGCACTGGTCATCGTGTTCCGCGTCAGCGTCCTCCCCCTGTCCCCGGCACACACCTGATGGCACTTCGTCCTTCCACTGCTCCGCAGCGTGTCCCTCTGCCGTCTCCTCCTGCGTCCTCTCTTCCTGACGGTCCCGACCCGGAGTCTGACTCCCTTCGTGCTGCTAGTCCTACTGTCACGCGTCTCCTGGCCACTGTTGTCACTGACCCTTCGTTTGAGTCCACTGCTGCGTCTGCTCTAGTCGCTGAGCTTGTTGACTTTGCTGCCGCCTGTCGTCTAGACTACGCCGCTAGTCTTGTTGCTGAGTCTGAGTCTGAGTCTGTCTGTCCTCCGTCCGTCGGGGGTGAGTGTGCTCTTGGCACGGACGTCCTTGAGGACAGACAGGAGGGGTTTGAGTGCTTTGCCGCTGCTTTACCTCATCTCGTGTCCATGCTACTTGCACCTGAGGGAGACCTGGATGCACCAGACATCCCGACCCTGCGCTCTTACGCAGAGGCGATAGAGGGTCCCTACTCCTCTCAGTGGCAGACAGCCATGGACGCAGAGATGGCTTCCTGGAAGTCCACAGGCACCTACGTCGACGAGGTTCCCCCGCCTGGGGCGAACATTGTCAGCGGCATGTGGATTTTCAGGGTGAAGCGGCTGCCGGGTTCTCCGCCTGTCTTCAAGGCGCGTTACGTTGCACGAGGCTTCAGTCAGCGAGAGGGAGTTGACTTCTTTCAGACCTTCTCCCCTACCCCGAAGATGACCACTCTTCGGGTTCTGCTGCACGTCGCCGCTCAGCGTGACTACGAGCTTCACTCTCTTGACTTCAGCACTGCTTTCCTACAGGGCAGCCTACACGAGGAGATCTGGCTGCGCCGCCCACCTGGCTTCACTGGGTCGTTTCCTGCTGGTACCCAGTGGAGCCTCTGGCGGCCAGTCTACGGTCTCCGCCAGGCGCCCCGTGAGTGGCACGACACACTGAGGACGACTCTTGCTGCTCTTGGGTTTGCTCCTTCCACTGCTGACCCGTCGCTGTTTCTACGCACCGACACTTCTCTGCCGCCGTTCTACGTTCTCGTGTACGTCGACGACTTGGTCTTTGCTACTGCTGACACTGAGGGACTCGCCCACGTGAAGTCGGAGCTGCAGAAGAGACACATGTGCACAGACCTGGGTGAGCTGACCAGCTATCTTGGCTTGCGGATCACCCGGGACAGAGCACAGCGCACCATTACCTTGACTCAGTCACACATGGTGCAGCAGGTCCTTCAGCGCTTCCGCTTCACGTACTCCTCGCCACAGTCCAATCCTATGCCTATTCGCCACTCGCTCTCAGCTCCACCTTCAGACGAGTCCGTAGAGCCGAGTGGTCCGTACCCAGAGCTTGTGGGCTGCCTCATGTGCCTGATGACCTGCACTCGACCTGACCTTGCCTACCCTCTTAGCATTTTGGCACGCTATGTCGCTCCTGGGAGACACCGGAAGGAGCACATGGATGCCGCTAAGAGGGTGTTGCGCTACTTGTGCAGTACGTCGGGCATGGGGCTCGTGCTTGGAGGACGGACTCGAGTTGTCCTCACTGGTCACGCAGACGCTTCCTGGGCTGACGACTTGGCTACGTAGCGGTCGTCACAGGGTTACACCTTCAGTCTTGGCTCCGGCTCTGTTTCTTGGCGGTCTACCCGCTCTTCTTCTGTTCTCAGCTCCAGTTGTGAGGCTGAGATCTACGCAGGGGCCATGGCTGCACAGGAGTTACGCTGGCTCACCTACCTGCTGACCGACCTGGGAGAGCCGCCTCGTTCTCCTCCAGTGCTGTACGTCGACAACAAGGCCATGATTGCCTTGTGTCAGGAGCACAGACTGGAGCACAGAACGAAGCACATTGCTCTGCGCTACTTCCTTGCTCGAGAGTTGCAGCAGCGTGGTCAGCTTCGTCTTGCTTACGTGGCCACTCGGGCCAACACTGCTGATGTCTTCACCAAGGCACTTCAGCCTTGTGATAATCAGCGTTTCTGTACTGTTCTAGGCCTTGTGCCTACTGTGCCTCACTTGCGTACTTCTTGACTCTGCTTGTACTGTGATCTCTATACATATACCTGCATGCTTACACTTGCTAGGTTGTGATCACTGTATTGCTTGTTCTCCTTTATATTACTCTACATGTGAACTGGCCTTGTGGCCATTTGCTTGTGCTCAGAATGCGTAGTGACGTCGTGATCCACCCTGAGCTTGCTTTGCCTTTCTTGACTGGTCTTGTGACCACTTGTTCTCCCCCACTTTGCCTATGGGGGTGTGTCAAACTTATATTCTATAGTCTGTGTAGGCTGTAGTGGGGTAGTTCCTATGGGATACAACATTTTAGGGTTTCCTACTTGTACTCCTCATGCTGCTCAATGCATTCATTCCTCGTTCTATTCTTCACAGAGTGGCCTGTTCAATCAACTCACATCAGTAAAGATGGCTCAAGGCAAGAAAGTAGGACCATGTATCAACTGCTCCAGGAATCTACAAGACCAGTTCAAGAAATGCGAAGGGAACAACCCTGACGATAGGTTCGTCACCATCGTCCTCTTGGGACTTGGACCAGAATGGCATCAATGCAAGTCCCTCCTCGAAGGATCACTCCGCAGATCCTTGCCCTGACTATGATTTACATCCAAGGACTCCTGAGTCCCCACTTGGCTTCGCCTCCACTCACGAAAGGGACTTCTCTCAGCATTGTGTTGACCTCGACCGCTTCGTCACTTCGCAAATCGCCAGTATCGCTTGACGCGACCGCGACAACTTTAACAAGTGGTACCTGGATAGACATTGCGGACAACACATGGTTGGGTCTTCACTATTCATCGTTAATCAGAGGCGTCGCGACTGCCCATGCAAAATCAGAGTCACAAATGACAACAAACTCAACGCTTACCAAATTGGAGAAATTATTCCGCAGTCCAGTGGCACGAACTATACAGTCCACGCTGTCGATGTTCTGATTGTCGACAACATGCAGTTTAATCTCCTCTGCAGCATCGCTCAGGAAGCGTGGAGTCGAGATACGAGCCAACTGCGAAGCAATGGAATTCAAACTATTCTACAAAAGGACATACATTAGGAAAGCGGTTAACAAGGACCGGGTCTTCGTCCTTTACTATACCTCACAGTCGACGGACGGCGACAGTGACCGAGTTCGTCTCCTGAAGACCACCACATCTTCATTGCCTCTAACATGGACCCATAAAAAAACCGACCTCGAGCGCCCATGCCCGGATGGAATCTGCTCAACACTCGCTGTCCGTCAACTCTGAGGTATAGTAAAGGACGAAGAGCACATGACACATGACCAACAACAATGGAAGAGCAGGAAGCAGATAGTGGTGGATTATAAGGAGCAACCAATGCCACACGAACTCGAGTGAGCGCATGAGGAACTCCTTGGGCCAACGAAGCATCAACAGTCAGCAGCACAGAATGGGGCACCAACATCACTAGTGGCGGATGGGGCACGACTGCAATACCCCCTGAAAATGCAGTCGCGGCAAATCCTTACTGGGCCACTCACGGAACCGGCTGGGTTGGACCGCCTCTTCCTCAACGCCCCTACGAACCAGATTCAGAAGAGGAAGAACCTCGACCTCCTGAGGAAGTTCCCCAGCTCCTGTCCATCACCGGCAATGAAATCCAGTATCATCGCATACCTATCGAGGGCCTCCTAGCTTTCGAGTGGCCTGACACGCCACCACAACCGCTCCCAGTCACCGACGACTCCATTCACGTCGTTGACACAAACGACATCGCCGGCTTCAGCCGCGACGAACTTCGCACTGCTTCCACCCGAGCCTTCGCAGCAAATGTCCGCGCTATCACCGATGAAGCACCTGCAACCGCACAACAGGAACAAGCACAGAGAGATAGTTATTATCCACGAACCATCAGATATCGCGCCACTCCTGACATCTGGCACCAACGACTCGGTCACCCATCTCACGTGACCCTCAAGAACTTTACCGAAGCTGAAGTATTTGACTGGCATGCTCTTCTTCTACCCAACAGAAACACCCTTCGACCCAACTCAGATAGTCCACCTTGCACTGTCTGCCCCGAAGCTGCATTAACTCACCAACCATTCGCGGGGCTGCCCCCAGGCTCATTACGCAACGAACCCCCCGACAAGGTCAAC